GAAAGAAAAGAAATCATAAAAGGGGATTAGAACTTAGTGAGGCCAAGGTGAGTACATATTAGATAGTATATAATATTTAATATAAATAAGACTTGCGACAAGTTTATTTCCTATAATATTATGTATGGATTCATGAACATGAGCATATGTTTGTTATGAGTTATATGTTATTGTATGTGTGATATGATTTGTATGAATATATGTTAGTTTGATAAGACATAGGAACTGATATAAGTGACATATATGTCACATAAGCTATATGATATATATATATATATGAACATAAGTAAACAAGACATGACATATGTGCTTACATAAGAACAAGAGAAATAATATAAACAATGTGATAAATATTATAAGAGTTATATGAAATTGAATTAAATAAATAGAATAATCTAGTATTTAAATATTGTGAGATAAGTGATATAAGTCATATGTTATTGTAAAGGTTAGTGTAATAAATCATGTAAATTGGTAAAAGGGAAATGAGAAAAGATAAGTAACAATTACCTATAAGATTCAAATAAGATTATTTGAATATGTAGTGTAAACTATATATGAGTGACTTATATATTATACGATTTAAGCATGAAATGAACATAAAATATAGTCAGGTGAAATTATTATGTGATATGAGTATATGAATATGTTAGATAAGTAATATAGGGAGGTCGATATGTTAAATGAACTATGACCTAAAACTGTTAGGTTTTTATATGATATGAAGTATAGTACCAAAGTACTTGAAATCATGTGAGGATGTTATAGGAATTAGAAATATAAATTATATGGCATTAATGTATCAATTATAGGAAAAGGAGTACATGATGTTGTAATAAATTATAGAAATTGGTGTAATGAAATTATATGAATAAGTGAAAGAGAAAAATAAGTTAAGTGACATTAACCTAAACTATATTAGGAATTAGTGGTATAAGAATATGATATGAAATATGCAATAAGAATCTATGTGATAAATGATAAATATGAACTTATTAGAACAAAAGATAAGATATGTGACTATGAGTATTGAATATGTATCTATATATGATATAACCTATGAGATCATATGAAATATTATATGACTATGTGATTATATGAAAAAGAATATAAGTATATGCAAGTTATATAGAAACAAGCTGTGTAACCATGCCTGATATGTATTACATGTATGTGAACATAAGAGAATAAAACATAAACTATATGAAAATATATGATTCATATGATGTGACCTATGTGAACATATAAGAAAGTGTATAAGTTATATGTATTACATGATATACGTGATTTTTACAAGAAATGACATGTTTATAGGAACACATGAGAAGTGTTATATGCCAGGTGATATATGAATACAAAATGATATGAGAATTTACATGAACTACGTGATTACATGTATATATGAATGAAGCTACGAGTTTATATAAATATGTGATATGTTTACATGAATATGAAAAAAGATATAAAAGATAATGCCCAGGACATGTGTCATGCACTAGTAGAAAAAACCCTTTTAATGACGCGCATTGCGCGTCATCTATGGGTGCGGATGACATACATTTGCCTGTCGTTGAAGCCATCGACATGAATTTAAGATGAAGTGCAATTGTGCGTCATAAATTTATGACGCGTATTTATGACACATATTTATGACACGTATTTATGACGTTCATTGAGCGTCATTGAAGCCCCCGTCATAAATTAAGATGACACACATTTGTGTGTCATAAATTTATGACACGCATGTATGACTTACATTGCGTGTCATTGAAGCACAAGCCATTAAAAGAGATGACACACATTCGTGTGTCGTGATTGTATTTCAAAAATTATTATTGTTATTATTATATATATATATATATATATTGTAGATTGACAAATAATTAAACTAAATCACATTTAATGCCTCATAATACTAAATATATATATCATATTATATATAAGCAATCCATTTGCATACAATATATTCACATTAATTTACAAACATAATATCCATCACCTATGGCTATTTGAAAACAAAAAACCAAGAATGTTATCAGATTATCACAAGAAGATACTAACAGATTATAAGATCTTAGATGCAACTCCTCTAGCTTCTTCTGCAATTTTGAAGTTGCTTCTTCAGAGTCGAGAACTCTTGAAACAGACTGCGAATGAGCATTGACTTCAACTGAACTAGTAGGAACATCAGATGCACCAATTTTTCCCGAACCCTTCCCAAAATTAGAGCACAAAATCCATTCTACCTGCAGGTTTCTTTGATTTGGATCAAATAAATCTGTTATTTTCTCATAGTATATCTACAAAATAAAATTGAAAATGAAGTGATAAGGAACAAGAATAGTACAACGCTAAGCAGTCCAATTATGTCAAAACTAAGAATCAAAATAATTCAATTATGTTTATCAGCATGCTTAATTCATAACTTCTAAACGGGAAATATATTACAACTCAAATACCCACCTTGGCACATAGAACTCCAATTACAATCCCTCTAAGGTGGGAAAGACGAACAATAATGCATAAAGTATGGAAATAAGAATTACTCAATCGCACTGATTTAGCAAATTAGATTACTAAATTACATACCGATCAGTTGGTAACCACATAAGTCACATATAAGTTAAATGTCCTCGAGAATAGACTATTAATAGTAATTTAACTTTGGAATAGGCTTGCGATGCTATATGCATGAAAAATAGAATACACAAATGATATTATAAAGGCAAAAACAAGAAATTCATAGATCAGTTAAAAGCATAGCAGCAGAGCCCCAAACAAAGGGAACTAATTAACAACACAGAAAATATTAGGAACAAAAGGCATATTGACAGTGGAACTTACATTTTATTAAAGAACATTTCCAATAATACTGAGAATTAAGCTTATTGATTACAAATAATAATGCATTAATGCTTACCTTTGGGACATGAACTTCCCATGTTGCCACTGCCTTCAAGTCTAAAAATAAAATTAACAACCAAAAAATTCAATTCTATAAAACAATTACACTAACTTTCATCATCATGGGTAGTCAAATTACATGCATTTCATTTTCAAGAGAAACGTTAAACTATATGCTTATATTTACCCGCAATTCAGTTGCTCTATACAAGATTGTTTCTCTCAATTCCAACATCTCATCATCGGTAAACCATAACGGATTCCCAAAAGTGGTGGGAAACATATCAAGATACCTGAACCAGTTTTAAATCCACATAAATAATAAATAAAAGAAAACTAAAAGAAAACAATCAAATATGTTAAGTACATACGGTTTCCATGAAGAATTCTTTCAGAGACGTTCCACAGTAAGAAGTCTTTAAATCCGTTGTTCGTTGAACGAGAGGGAATTGAAATGTAAAGGGTTGGAGTAAAATTAAGTTCGGTTCGGTAACGGATAATCCTACAAAATATTACCTGGCACTGCAAATCAACAATCTTCACCTGCTAACACTTCGATATATCTAAGCAGTTTTCGGCTTCACGATAAAGATTTTATTTTGCACACAATATTTTAAACTAATATGCCCTTACCATCCGGGCCTGTACACAAGAAATCAGTGGATCAACCGAGAAGCTCCTACAAAGAAGAAAAAAAATACTTGTTTCATATATATGACAATAGTTGGCAGAATCAAAGAAAATGGTAAGTACAAACAAGAAGCATCCATCAACTAATACAAAACACAAATCAGAAGATACTGCAGGGAAAGCGTGACCTGTTTCTACAGGTGCTGGGATCGGAGACTTTACAATTCTGCTAGGATAAGGCTCCTTAACTGCTGCATTCCCGAATTTTCCAGCACCATTTTCCATGGCTTCTTGTTTACTTCTTTTTTCACTTCTAGCCGACGGAGACTACATTGTCTCTGTGAAACGTATTAGGTCAAATAAGCATTTAAGAACGTTAATTGAAACTAACACCTAAGATTTACAATGAGAATCGAAAATATAGGTTGGAAAATCAAATAAATCTCAAGATGGGATAAAAAGACAAGAAAACTAATCTTTTATTTCTTTCAATTCTGAATTTTTCAACACCCAAAAGTAGAACCTTCAACATTAATCAGTTAATTTAGAGCCCTAAAAAAAGTCGTAATAGTGTGAATTGTAATGGAGGTAGTAACTTAACTCTTTGGAGAGTTTCTGATAAGGAACACTGACCAGATATTGCCCCTAATAAAATTATCAAAATTAGGAGTATAGAATTGTGAAACCAACTAGCTTACCTTTTATGCTCCCACAAGTAATGAGCTTATTAAGAAAATCACGAAACAATGTCAAAACAAGCATTTCCTGCTATGCATAGACCTCTGTGAACTCATGGCCATTAGATGATTTCTGAGTGACATTTCGAGAATGATTTGTTAATAAATTAGGTGACTTCACTTCCATAAACATTGTGTCTTCTTCATCATACATCAATGCACGTGTTCCAGGAGACAAAGGCCTTCCATTCTGCACATCGTTCTCATCTGCTCCAGAGTTGCCACTTCCATCTGCATCTCCCTGGTTCTCACTCTTAAGGTCATCAGTGGCAGCGCTTGGAACATCATAACCTTTGTGACTCGTTTCATGCAAGTGACCAGATGAAATTGTAGTTTCAATAAAGCCTCCCTCTGTTTGTTGATCGTTTTTGCTACTTTTCTCTAGAAATTGCAAGTTTCACATTAGTATTACTATATGCCATCTTCAAGACTTCAACAGTACAAAAAGTATAAAATTGTGAATTTGTGCATAAGCCCAAGGTGAATCAAGCATGCAATTAGGTAAAGACCTAGATTACAAGATCCACAGATCATGGAGAGAACAATATAATTAAAGAATTTTAGCAAACATAAAGGCAAGTGTAATTCACTCGAAGAAGACAACCAGGAAAGAGAAGTTTCACCACAAAAAACCGAGCATGATTCATGTATTACCTCAAAAGTAATAAACCCACAAAGGCCCCTGAATTATGTTATGGCCAAAGCCATCTCAAGTTTATGATTAGCATCCTTATAGAGATTTCGCTTCAACTTATGCAATTCTTTGGCCAATTCTTTATCCGGATGTGCCTGCTGTCGAAACGATTTTTTTTCTTAAAAGGTGAAAAAAGTGAGATTTTGAAAACCACATTAATTCTCAATTATCTCTTTTTAATTTAAAAACAAATGCGATTTAAAAGACCTCTTGTTTCGAAATTTTTTGGATTTCCTTTACGATCGAACAATACGGTTCAAGGAGTCGCCACCAATCTTTGATTAGGGTGTGATTGAGCACCCAAAAATGCTTTGTTATTTTAAATAAAAATTAATTTTAATTAAAACAACAAATTGAGGTCTGCGTTACCAAAATCCGAGTTCGAGAGTCGGTTACGTGTGGGGAAGGATTAGCACCCCCACAACGCCCTAAATCGGTACCTAGTCGATTAATTAACGTTTTTGCAATGAACTTTACAAATTCGAACTTAATTTAATTTTTGATCCCATAAAACAAAAATGTAAATTTAAAACATTCAAAAACACTCAAACAAATTAAATTAAAATTACCAAGTCATTTTAGAAAGATAAAGAATGTTCGATTATTTACAAATATCGAGACCAGATCTTAAAGATATAACAACCTTTTCTCGATATATTTAAATAAACGAACATTTCTTTTTCTCTCGTTCCCAAATTTTAGGTGACGAATCAATTTTTTGGTTTCACTTTCGGGATACACTTTTAATTTAAAATCATTAGAAGCGAACTTCAAATCAGTTATGACAGCCCCCTTGAAACAATTTTAAATTAAAAGTATATTACCCTTAATCCAATTATGAATATGTCGAGTTATGCAAGTGAAGCTATCATGCAAATTATGCAAAAATGATGTCATGTAAAAATTAATTAAACATGCGATTAAAATAAATGAGTAAATAAATCTAAAGCTAAAATTACTATTAAACAAAGACCACAAAAAAAACTATCAATGCATTACATATACCAAGATCAACATAAAACTGAGACCACTTGTAAAACTAAAATGAAAACCGAGAAAATGTTATGCCAAATATGCAACATCACATAAACTTAAAATAACATACCCACATGACTAAAATGTGACATGCAAAAACCTTAAAGTCTAATATCTAAACAATGTAAATTAAACAAATCAATATTTAGGACGAAAATTAAATGAACATAAAATAAATAGACATAATTAGATACATGCAATTTTCTACCTAGGGACTAAAATGTAACATGCAAAAATTAACAATTTAATGTTTAAAATAGCAAAGATTAAATACAAGAATACTTATGGCTAAAATTAGATGCGGGTAAAATAAAGAGACAAAACTATAAACATGCAAATGTTGATTTATGGACTAAAACGAACATGCAACCATTCAGAAGTTAAATGTCTAAAATAACAAAAACTAAATAACATAACATTTGGGACTGAAAATTAAAACGCATAAAATAAAGATGCAAAATTGGAAACATGAAAACATTCGGTTTGGGGACCAAAATGAAAATAAACACAAGAACTATAGGGATTAAACGAAATTCTAAGGACTCGGTGGCTAAAAGCTAATTAACCCTAAAATTTTAACATATAACCTAAACCTAAACTAAAAAACACAATTCACGTGGAACATATTCAGCTTCCTCCCCTTCTCTTCACTTTCCATCTCTCCCTCAGCCACACACAGTACCGTTCAACACATGAACCCCCTCCATATCTCGGTCATGTTTTAAATTGCTTGGCCACCATACTTTGGTGGCCACCTTTCTTTCGACCATAGCTCGCCATCACCGCCTCTCGTCCTACAACTCTACACAATCGAGCCTAATAAAGTTGGCCACCGTTCGAGATGGTTCCCTCCTTAATTCTGACCGTCAACAGAAGCCGAGGTAAACGACCCTAACTTTCTATTCCCATTTTCTGGTTCGAAACTATATTAGGAAAATGCCCTTGAAAATGAAAAAGAGATTTCTCATTGGTGTTATTTCTTGTGTGAATCGGATATGGGTAAGAGAATTGATTGAATCTTTTATTTCTTTTCCAAAACAGAAAAATATGAGAAATGCTTAGTTCTTTCTTTTAGTGCTTTGTATTGATCTTGAATGTGACTTACTGAAGAAAGATGAATGCTTAAGAGCCCACTCAAATTGTTTCCCCATCCCTTCTCAATTTTCAGTTTTAAATAACAATCGCAGACATACGAAACAACAAAGAAAACAAACTGAAAAATAAAAGAAATTGAAGAAGAATTCCTCGGAAAAACGTACCTTTACTGCTTTATCTGTTTTTGAATTATAAGATTACACTACTATTTTCTTTCGTATCCTGTTTACACTGTGGAATTGCTGATAGTTAATTGGGTTCTTTGTTTTTTCTCCTCTCGTGGTGGTTCCTTCTTTTTTTTGTGTTGATTGTCTCTCTTTTTCTGTAATTTGATGATAGTGTTCTGTGTTTTCAGTGGTTCCCCTTTTCTTTTTTTTGTTCTACCGTGTGTGTATTTTTTTTCTACTCTCTGGTCCTTTTTTTTTCGTTTTTTAGTTCCCAGCAGTTAATTTTTATTTCAAAACAGTTTCCTCATTCTCCTGTATGCCTCCCCATTTCCCGTTTCTTAACTTCCCATAACCATTTCTATTTTACAGGGAATCATCATGTGGCCTGCTCTGCTGGATCATTGGATTAGGCTTCCAACTGGTTTGGGTTATTCTTTAAGCCCACCATTGCTTCGGGTCTAATTCGGCTTAACCCCAGACAAAAACGAGCATCTACAGCTGTCCCTCTTTGCTCATTGTCGTGTAACGAGAATAGAGCAAAGATCAAAAGATGATCGAGCTTGTATGGTTCTAAGAACTTCAAAAGATTAAAGCACTCCATTGTTACTTCGGGATAAATGAAACTTGAAAAGTCTTCAAATGATAAGTCTGCTCCCTATTCCTTCAGGGAGTATAAGACTCGAACAATCTTCAACAAACATGTCTGCTCCCTATTCATTCAGGGAGTATAAGACTCGAACAATCTTCAATAAAACGGGTCCGCTCTCTATTCCTTCAGAGTGTATAGAACTCGAACAATCTTCAACAAATATGTCCGCTCCCTATTTCTTCAGAGAGTATAGGACTTGATCTTCAACAAACGTGTCCGCTCCCTATTTCTTCAGAGAGTATAGGACTCGAACAATCTTTATAAAACGAGTCCGCTCTCTATTCCTTCAGAGAGTATAGAACTCGAACAATCTTCAATAAACGGGTCCGCTTTCTATTCCTTCAGAGAGTATAGAACTTGAAAAATCTTCAACAAACGGGTTCGCTCCCTCTTTCTCTAGGGAGTATGGAACTCGAACATCTTCTTCTTACGGGTTCGCTCCCTCTTTCTCTAGGGAGTATGGAACTCGAACATTTTCTTCTTACACGTTCGCTCTCTCTTTCTCTAGGGAGTATGAAACTCGAACATTTTCTTCTGCTTTACTACTTTCTTGTGAAGACTTCTTGATGATTTGCTTCACTACTCTCTCGTGAAGACTTAAGTTTAATTTGCTTCGAAAGTCGAACCTGAAAATCAAACATTATCAATCATTAATGTGTGCTTGAAAATTTGAAAATCATTATACTAAAAAAATTTAGAATTTAAGAGAATCTTTTCGAATTCATTTCTCTTGTGAGAGCTTGTCTCGCCGCAACTAAATGCGAGAGTCTTCCTTGACTTGACTGTCATTTGAACCCTTCCCTTCCTGGGACATTGAATCGGTTAATAACTCATCGCGCGCGTTTCTTTTTCTTTGTACTCGAGAAATTTTGCTTTTTCTCCTACATCTAATAGTCTGATGGTTTGCTCCAACACTCTTCCGAGAAGGTTTAAAAAAGATATGCTTCACTACTCTTCGATGAAGGCTTAAGATGGTTTGCTTCACTACTCGTTAGTGAAGGCTCAAAATGGATTTGCTTCACTACTCTTTGGTGAAGACTTGGCTTTGCCCCAATCTTCTGTGTACAAGTCACTTTAATCGAGTGATTTCTCTTTTCATACGCGAACATCTCTATTTTTCTTCTATATCTGATGGTTATCACTTTTAGAGTAATGCTTCTTCTGTGGATTAGACCTCTCAATTCTTCAGGGTATGCCTCTTTAAACGTGATTTCTTGCGTTTGAGGTTTGAAATCTTCCTTTCGACTTGTCGGGCTTCTGACATCATGCATCTTCTCTTTTCACTGGAAGATCTGTCAAAACCATGTGTTTATGCATGAAACACGAACACAAATGCAATTAAATGTATTAGTGTAATGCATTTTCTTTTATGCAAATGATGTTCTCATGAATTCATAAATGCCGATTCCATCTTCATTTGACTTCAAAGTGGTGAACTTAGTCTTCTTATACTTGATCATTCCTTTCCAGGATCTGCTTTATATACCCGTGTAGCAACTCATAGTTTCCAACTTGCATTTTTGACGAGCCCTCTGATCTTCTTCTATCTCCTTGTCATCTTTATTATCTATCTTTATTTCGGAGAAAATGTTTTCTCTCTCAACTTCTTGCTATGGTCAGAAGCATGATTGTGTTTCTCCGTTTTTGGAGACTATGTACATGACTGTGCCAAACTCCACAAAGGTCAATGGGATAGTTGCATCTGTTCTGATTTGACTCTTGAAACATAACGCCAAGAGGACCCATCCAAATTTCATTTTCATCACATCATTTCTCATTTTAACCTTGGAGTTGCGTAAGACAACCTTCATCTTGGATAATGGAAACAACACATGATCGCAACATTGATTCAGCATCATATTTACTGGCTCGTAAAATATTTAACACATTCATCTTTTCCTGTGGCTTCTGCCTGTATCTTTCAATTGGAGAAGCTTTTTACAAAGCGCTCAGAGTTTTTTTTTTTGCATGGTATTACAAGGATACCAAAACTCAATGGAGATTAAGATGGGATATTTTGGCTTGCCAACATTAATGCATGTGAAATCACTGGAATAATGCAACTGATGATGGACAAAATGATCATTTATGGTAAACTCCACTGTCAATGTTTCACCATTTTCAACACTCATACATTTCTATCTTATTG